TAAAAAAAATTCTTCGTTAAAATTAGATAATCTAAGACCTATTAGTTTGCTCTCTGTTTTTTCTAAAGTTATTGAAAAGTTGATGAAAAACAGACTTATTAAATACTTAGACAATTTAAAATTTTTCAGCAATTTTCAATTTGGATTCAGAAAGGGAAAATCAACCGAGGACACATTAATTAACGTAACAGAAAAAATGTATAGCAGTTTCAACAGCAAAAATAAATCTACAGGCTTATTTATTGATTTCAAAAAAGCTTTTGACTTAGTAGACCATAATAGTTTGTTATCTAAACTCAATGCAGCAGGCGCAAGAGGAACCGCGCTGAGTTGGTTCAGCAGTTTTTTGTCCAATAGAATACAACAAACCAAGATCCTAAACCGATTAAGCTCGCCGCTACATTTATTTTAAACTTATTTTAAACACACTGCATGTATTGTATACACATTGCACCTGTTTTCATGTTTGCTCTAGTCTTTGCATACCTATGTTTTTTATAAACTTCAGTATTTTATTTTTAAGATGACTGTGATACTTTTTGCATGTACTCTGCACTTGTTTATATTTTATTGTCTATATTTATTTAGCCTTATTGCCTGTAAACTTTAGGCTACTATTATGACGTTCATCCATTGCATGTGTTGTACATAGCGTTAACGATGAATAAAAATTCTTGATTCTTGATTCTTGATACATGTAAAGACAGGAGTCCCCCAGGGATCGGTGACATCTGACACCCTTTTCCTTATCTTTATCAACGATCTTCTCACACTTCCTTTTCATGGACAAATCTGTGCATTTGCCGATGACGTCGCCCTCTTTTATTCCGAAAAGAATAGTGATTTAACTTTCAACAAAATTAAAGATGACTTAATTTTGCTTAGTAACTGGTGTGCAGCAAACAAAATGCAAGTCAATGTTGAAAAAACCAAATACATAAACTTTAATTTAGTACATAGTTTTAACTTTATAAATTATCTCGTTTTCCACACTTTTGGCTGTTCCTTTAATTCTTGTAAATGTAAAAAAATTGAAAAGGTTAACAATTTTCGCTATCTTGGGGTCATTTTAGACGAAAATTTAAATTGGCATAAACATGTGACAAACCTGCATTCAAAAATTAAATTCTCCATAAGAAGCTTTTATTTTTTTTAAAATATTTGCAGTATATTTTTATTGCGAACCCTTTACTTTAATTGATTCAAGATTACAGTACGCCATCCAGTGTTAGGGGGGGGGGGGGGTACCTATAAATGTCATATTGATAAATTAAGAGTCACACAAAATCATTTTATTAGATTAATTTCAAAATGCCAAATAAGAGAAAGTTCCTTTCCATTATTTTTTGAACTTAAAATACTTCCGATTCAACATTTATATATTTACAAGGTTTTACGGCTTTTTTATGTTCGAAGTGGAAATACAGGAACAAGTAACCTTTTGTACAATACTAGAAATCACAACCAAGGAATGTTCAGATTACCTAAAGTAAACAAATCGCTCTTCAGACATTCTTATCAGTACAACGGACCTAAATATTTCAATCAATTACCGGGAGATATCAGAAGTTGTTCATCCTTAAATTTGTTTTCTTTAAAATTGAAATATTGGCTTTTCAAAACTCCAGTCACTGATTTTTTAAATCAGGTTCTTAGTTAACAAAATATTTTTGTATGGCCTTTTCAATTTTATTTCAATTCCATCTGTTTTTTTCTTGCATATTTTGTTTGTGTTATTCATAATTAGTAATGAATGTATTTGGTTTAACGAACAAAGTTCTCAATATTATAAGGTAATTATTTGATTTTTGTTATAACAATAAAGAAGTTGTATTTATATTACTGTATATGTATAAGTTAATATAAGTGTTAAACGGCGCCACGGAGAGCGGCATGGTTATTAATCACTTCTTTCAACAAGGACTGGACTCATACAATTTTTTATTGCTTATAAATAACTGTGTTTTTTCTTTCATGTTGTCACAAATACTGGAGACGGTGACAACATAGTTCCAAGGTGAATTTGTTTTGTAATGTAAAAAAACTTGTATTTGGGGAATAAAGTCATTATTTCATTATTTCACTACAGGAGTAGGTTCAGTTACAGGTTTAATAACACCTAACTCTACCATGTAATCACGCTCAACATGTTCTCTTAATGCAAAAGGAATTCGCCTAGCTGGATAGATTTTTAGTGAAGGATTGTCAACTATATCAATGTCATATTCATAATTGTTCAAACATCCTATCCCATTAAATAGGTTTTCATCAAGATTGCTAGCGTGTAACTCATGTACCCTTTTAACAAATCCCAATGTCTGACATGAATCTCGACCTAAAATCGCTGGATAATTTCCATCAACTACAATAAAGTTGACTTTTTGTCGATGTTTGTTAATCGTTTCTACAGTTGCAGTACATTCACTGAGCACCGGTAGCTTGTTATTTGTGTATGAAATCAAATGTTTTATCTTAGAACCATTAATTTCTAAACTACTATTTAATGCAATAGTTTTACTTATTACATTACATTGAGGTCCTGTATCTAATTTGAAAAATACTTTTTGGTTCTTAGGAAGTATTAGTAGTTCAGTCCAATCTCCTGCTTTTTGTTTTCTTTCGTTAGATAAGGAACTAATTAATGTTACCTGGTCTGAGTGTTGAATCGAATATACTTCACTATGTTCATCGGAGTCCTCAGTTTTTAATGATTTCACTCGATTATTTGGTTTTGAGCGGTATACCTTAGAGAAGTGGCCAAGGATACCACAGTTAGAGCACTTCTTTTGGTAAGCAGGACAAGCTCGAGGGCCATGGCGATATCCACAGCGACTGCAAGTTAAGGTGTTATCCTCTTGTTTTTTGCTTAATGTTTTTTCCTCTTGCTTCTCACCTAAAGTTTCTTTTCCTTTAACTGCATAAACGTTGCAGCATTTCTTTTCAGACATTGTAGATAGCTGAAATTCTACTTCTTCAGAAGTCTTACAGATGTTTATTGTCTTTTCAAGCATTGATTCCGCAAACCAGCCTGTCTCGTAATAAGCTATCCTTCATTGTTCCGTACAAGCATTTATTTGCTTGGTCAGATGCTTTAGCTAAAAAATCATTAAAAGTTTCTCCTTTACCCTGATTTAGATTGTTGAAGACAAACCGTTCATACATGACATTTGATTTCTTTTCAAAATACGAATCAAATTTTGCAATTATATCATCCAAGCTAGTGGATTTTTCATCAATATCAAAAGACTCAAAGAGTTCAATTCCATCTTCTCCAAGTACTGTCATAAAAGTAGCTATCTGTTTTTCTGATGTTCTCTTCTTCAAATTGACAGCAGTAGTATACCACTGAAATTGTTTCCGCCATAGATTCCACTTCTTTGTCATTTCACTACTACTGGTAACTAACAGTGGCTTTGGTGGTTTTATGTTCATTGGTAAGTCTTGATTATTCATCTCTTCATTATCATAATCAATGTTGTCTGTATTATCCTCTCTGAATGGAGAACATTGTCTTTCTTTATTCTTATTCTTGGTTCTTCGTTTCGGCACCATGTTTCTTGTTTTAAAATAAAACTAAATCTTTAGATGAAAAATTCCATTTTATGAACTACAAGTTAGTTTGTTTACAAGCAAGTTTGTTTACAAAAACAATATAATAATAATTAACAACCATATGACTTTATAGTCATATATCATTATCTGAAACAGTTTTATGTTTTTGAATAAAGAAATATATTTTTTGTCTCTACTTCCTTGTTTCTCACTTGCATTCTGTCAGCAGGGGGTGGGGGAGAGTCTATGACCTTGAGTGCCCGGGTCTGGCTGGTGAGAGTGATTCATTGTTTTTTGTTTACATACACCCTTCCTTCCTAGAAAAAGACCCTGCTGTTCTAAAAACATTGACCTGTGTTGCTAAGGGGGGGGGAGTTTCAAGGTCGTACTCGAAATCTCGAGTACTCGCACATCTCTAATTTCTTTTAAATATGAATACTCATATGGTTAACATGGGAAACTCTAAAGCCACTGGGACGGAGCCCGAAAGGATTTTTGAGATAAAAATGCGTCTATATGTTAATCGGACACGTGAGCTATCAATTCACCAAATTTCAGCTCAATCCGACCAGTATTTTTCACGTTTACTTGTCTCAAACATCCATCCATACATCCAAACTTTCTCACTTGTAATATTAGTGGGATTTTTAAGAATTTCCAAAATGTTAACATCTTGAAGTGATCTATCAATCCCTAGAGTTAAAATTCATAAAACCTTATTTAAAATATATTCTGCTAGATTTGAGAGACGGGTGTAGAACAATTACCCAACTCAATCTTCCCCCAAATGCCAACATGCATGTTGAATTAAAAATTATCCCATGTTTGCTCGTAAAATAACCCATGATTTGTTCAAAGGAGCCAACTGAAAAATCAATCAGATTATTAACTGAATTTCTTCTCAACATTTTGTTCAAGAACAATCTTGAAAGTAGGATACATCAGTAGGCTTAAGTAATGTATGCAAATTGGGGCTCTTAACACATACATTTTATGGTTTAGTTTTATACTTTACTTTATACTTTCTTATGAAATGGTGACCATACTATGTAGGTATTTTAAGCCAAGTATGAATGGAGATGAGTGTAGGATGAGTGGCGCGATCTTGTAGTCTTGTTAGTGACTAAGGCCGACATTCCTTAGACACAGCTGTTTTATAGCACTAGTTTATTTGCCTTGGTTTTACTTTTAATCCAACGTTACATATCTTGGGACTGTAATTAATTGAGTAAATTAACTACCAAATAATTACTATATTTCGGGATTGAGTTGTTCTGGTTAAATAAAAAAAAAATAAGTTTTAAGTTTACAAAATCATTTTTCCAACTTCTTTTATTTGGATTTGACTGTCATTAACTCTCTGTTTTTATGCCTTAATGGTATTAAATGTAAAAACTAAACTCGGTTCAGCTCTATATTTTACTGGTCTACCTAGTACCTACACTTACCCAAAAGCGTAAACGTCAGAAAACTTGGAAAATGGCAATTCCTCATCATCAGGCTTTTGATGAGCTCTCAGATCCCTGATGATCTCTGGTGCCAGGTAACACAGCCACCCCTTTGGTATACTCAGTCCATCTACCTTCCTGAAGCACAAAGAGAAAAGTTAAAACCTAAAATGACAACTAAAAAATTAAAATCACACCAATTCATACTAAAACTAAACTTGCACAGATTTGATCATAAAATAAGTCAAGACATTATAAAGGGTGCGCACCAGGCCAACCAGAAAAAAATCAGGAGTAATTTCAGGTAGTTTAGGTCACATTGGTGTATTATCACAATGACGACTAAATTTGGGCATGCAGTCTAATACAGTCTAATATGCCGCACAGATAACAAATGAGATCAAATGTGCTCGAGCTACGAACGATGATGACAAACTGACAATAGGCTATAATTTTTGTTATCAATACGAAATAACTTATTCTTAGTCATATCCTGTGGAGATAAGTGTATGGTTCAGTTCTCATCACACAGCGTGGGAGCGGAAATGCAGAGATTCCTAGAAAGCGGCGGTTAAACCGAACTGCTCTCAAAGCAAGGTCGGTCAAAACAAACTGTATTATTTTACGATCGAAGGCGGATAATCCGATTATCGGTTAATAAGAGGTCGGGTAAAGCCGCGTTTACACCAAAGTTGACAACCAAAAGTTGACAACCAAAAGTTGACAACTAAAAGTTGAAAACTAAATGTTGCTCCTCACTAATTTAGAGCAACTAGTGGAAAACTTGTTGCCAAAGAATAGGTGTGTAATAATCTTGTAATATAGTGATAACATAGTTGATAATATAGTGTTTCAAAGATGTCGTCGGACGAAGAAGACGCAATCATTCCTAAACAAAAAATAAAGGTTACATTAGTTACATTATTGAATCAGCAATTTGACACATACTATATCCCATTAGCTTGTCAACAACCATTATTATGGATAAGTGATTAGAGTAAAAATGATATTTAATAGGTATTTAGTAACTATGTAACTATGATATTTATTAGGTAAAACTACAAAAGTCGCATTAACTTTGGAATCGTAACTTTTACAGCAATCAGGCTGCAGCAATAGTGGGGGGGGGGGGGGGGGCTGCACTATATTGTTTAGAACTATAAGGACCTTAAAGGTAGTAATTCAATCAAAAACTGTTTTTTAAAATCCATTTTTTTGTTTTTTCATAGGGTTTTATGGGAAAATAACATAAGTTACAATAACATTTAAACTGGAATTTTACAGAAATGGGAGTTATACTATTTTGTTCAGAATTTAAAGGGTGGCTACAACCATAGATAAAAGGAGTATAGACACAGATACCCCACGCAATGCTAATATGTGTTAACAATTTTTGGCCGAAAAACCGACTAGATCCTAGGCGGCGCTAGTCTCGAAACCGACTAAGCGCGGTTGCCATGTCGTGCAACTCAGTCGGTCGACCGGCCAACTCAGCCGGCTGGGAGAGATTCCCTCGCCTCGCACCCGCAACGCACTTCACTCACGCTCTTCTGCTGCTCTGTCCAGTGATGAGCTTCAATGAAATACTGTACGTTTTCTTCTGAAAATTTTAAAGACTTTGTGTAATAAACATAACATTAATTGGTTGAATATTGTTGTACGTTTGTTTACCATAAACTAAAAAAATGTTATATACTCAATTTAAAATGTAATATATATTTGTTTTCAATTTAAAAAAATAAATTAAAGACTGAGAACATATATATTTTAATTATTTTTTTTTTAGTTTTTATATGCAGGAGTCTAAGCAATATGTAACCTATGCATTAAAACGTGGAGGATTTTTTTAAATATTTGAAACATTCCAAACAGAGAATAAGTGCTATTCAGGTTGTCTTGTACACATATGAACAAACTTTGTCACGTTATTCAGCTGAAAGAAACAAAAAATGTAATATTGTCCTATGTGATTTTTACAAAAACATTCATAACTCACCGTTTGAGCTACAGCGTTGAAATTCTGTATGGCTATCTTATTGACCTCAATCTTAATACATGCGCAAAATATGAATAAAAACTCTTGAACTATATTTAAAACCAAGGATCACGTTATCTATAATTGAAACTATATATATGTATATAACAACAACCAAAGTCAACAGAGATACGTTTTATACAAAGATAAAATTGTCTACAAAGATATCCATCTTGAAAATAAAAAAATGTAATTCTTAGTTTTCTTTTAGATATTACAATAATTTGTTTTATATTTTGAGCTTTTTAGGGACTTATGTCCCTAAATTCATTCAACTAGTTTAAACATAAATAAATATCCACTATACCCATTATTTTCAGCGGGGAGGGGATACAAATTTTTAAAAATACCCCCTAAATCAATTACACAGTTTGATTAAATAAACCTACTACATGGCTGAGGGCTGTACACAGCCATGAGGTAAGCCAAATAAATAATTAAGCAAATCAGAGTTTAGATATGGTTTACGAACTCAAAGCATACAATTATTAGGTATCAATTGTCTTTGCCCTACATGTTCGTTTTGATGCCTTCTGTATATTGTTTCATATCTAAATTATAAAGTTGGGAAAGTTATTTCACAAAATGAGAGTATTAATTTTTGGCTTTTTAAAGGTAGTTCAATATTTTCGTTTCTCGAATATATCTATTAAAATTGTCCGTAAACAAGTGTGAGTACATGTAATAAGAGATTTATCTACTTTCAATTAAGATATTATAGTTTGTATATTGGCAATTAATGTTCTTTTCAATACTCTACAGGCGAAAGTAAACTTTTTTTAAACGTACAATGAGCTAAGAAAATAGGTTTTTTTCGCTACACTACTGTAAAATGACATGTTTCGTTGCATATTTATCACCTGCACAAATCTGTTATTACATTGTTAACTATGGCAATAGTATATTTCGTACCTAGGGCCGAAAATGAGGTTTTACCGGCTCGGGGTTTTTAAGTTCGAGACCAAGTCGAGAACGATCGAGAGCTGCAAAACCATTTTTGGTCCGTGGTACGAACACTATTTTTCACCACACTACTACTATTCACAAACGCAACTTTAAGGTTATGTGAAGAAGTAATTTAAGGAATCAGCAAAAATAGTAATAAACCGTTGCTAGGCAACGGTGAAAATATAACAATTATATTGCAATGCTATGGATACTGTTTGTGTATTTAATATGCAAGCGGGCAGCTGATTTTGCGGTCCTAGGGATGTAAAAACCTGTTTGGTCCCCAAATGACGATGACAGCTGGTACGGTCAGCAAAACGTAACTTTCAGCCTCTAATTAACGTATGTAAAACAGCTAATAACATCATATTGTGGTGAAAAAGATTTTTTACTATGCGAGAGTATGTTTACTATTTTTATTTTTGTATTTTGCCGATGTAAAAAAACAATAATATTTGTAATTGTTTTATAAACTGTTTAAATTTTCAACAACTAAAAGTAAACATTAACTTTAAATTGAAGGTATGACCTAAAGATTCTATGAGTTTTGTAGTAAAGAAATACAGGGTGAAGCAGTGAGAGCACCCCAATATTCTTTCGTTGTCACACTATAAGTAAAGCCACAATTAATAGTTTAGCTCTGCTTATAATGTAAATTAAACTATGTCATTTTAGTAAACATTATGCCTGAGGCTATTAAGACTGAGATTTTGATGTGGAAACCCATTTTTAAAATAGTGATTCTTGTACAAAACCCCAGAGATTGTTTGGACCACATTCCATCCCTGGTCAATATGGTGCTGTTCCAAATTGGAAAACAACGGTGAACTGGGTAAAATAATTTAGTATAACAGCTTAAAACGAAAAAATAATCGGTTGGTGCCGCAAAACCCTTTGTACACCAGCAAATGCTGTAAAAGTGTGAGCCGCAGTAACTCGAAGTCCGAAGAGATTTGCCAGGAAGCTTTTGTTGTTGAAAGCTTTACGTTGGCTCTTTTTTTAGGGGGGGGGGGGGGTATTCTGATAAGCTACTTGAAGTTCGAGGTTTTTTCTAAGTCGCCCCACAGATTTGCTTAAACGGAAGCTAAGAATTGTCCAAAACTAAAGTGATTCCTGAAGAAATGCTGGAGGAGTATTTGATGGAGTTTTCAAGTGACTAAAAAGGAATGTCAAGTGGGACAAGGACGTCACTTGAAGGATTTTGTTTTCAAGGAATGAAAAAATGACTTGGTTAAGCTCAATTGGCCAAAAATAAGCTGCGTTTTGATGTGGTATTTATATCTATTGGGTGAATATGTTTAATTTATGATATAATGGAGTTAGTACAATTTATAAATTGGGCCACTTTCATTGCCTCACCCTGTAGTATTTTTGGAATAGAAAATGGGTCTATACATATTCTCGACCATTTAAAGTACTCGATAATTTTCGCACTGCAAACATGATGTCAAATATGAAATTTTTTGCAGACTTGACACTCTTGTTATGAAATATACTAATTCCCGATACTGCACGGCAAAATTTCATCATTTTAACTTTCTGTGCACGGAAAGTAACTGTTATGGGATTTTGCTGTGCAGACCGATCAGCGTTTGCACTTGACATAAGCACGGAAATTGTTGTAAATTTAATGTGGACAGTAAATCTAATATTCTAAGTTGTAATTGTAATGTGTACAGTTCATAAAATGTGAATTGTACTTAAAATTACATACAAAACTAGACCAACCCACGCGCGATTTGAGACGTAGGTTTAATGTTCGATGAAATTACAGGGTGTTTGATATAAGTGTGCCAGCTATTCTATTCAAAAGTTATAAGAGATATGACAAAATTTTAAATCGTAACTACCTTAGATTTGTTATGAAAAAAATTGTTCAGGTTGAAAAAATAATTTTAGCCGCCATTTTCCAATATGGTTGCCAACTTTGATTTGTCGTATGGAAGACCCATATTTAATGATTGTTTTAGAAATTGAGTGCAATTTAAAAAAGTTTCCAATCTTGGAATTTTTCTCTAAAGCTACTCGTTTAGGAGTTACAGCGTGTTACAACCGAGAAAATGACTTACGGAGTTGCGGTGTACATTTTGCATCATGTAGCACCTAAACTAGTACGTTTGGAGCGAAAATGCAAAGAGTAAATAAATAGTATTTT